GAAACCCAACAGTGTCTGCCATGGGTAGTAATATAATCACAACTGAGCTACATAAATGTTGAAATATTACATAAGGAAAGAAGGCTTGGAGCCTCCACTTGTAACACAGGAGGCTGAGGATGTATAAGGAATAATACTAACAATAATATAATATAGCTGGTGATGACTAATATTCATCTGGAACTTACTATATACTAGGTAATATTCAAAATTCTTGTATCTGTTACTTCATTTAATCCTTGCAATACTCTTATGAAGTAAGTACTATTATTATTCCCATTTACTTATGAGAAAACCAAGGCACAAAGAAACTTCCCAGTTGAGGAATGTCCTTGAGTGAATAAGTGCTCAAGCTGCATTTGAAACACAGGGAGCAAAAATTCTAAACCAGGGTTACTAAGAGATAAGAAAGACATCTTTTGTTTTTGTTTCTTTTACTTTCTCTTTATATTAAGTCAGCAAATATTTAACTAGCCAATATGAGTCTGAGACTTAAATTTTCAAATTCACATGATGAAAAATTACAGAGCAAGACTACCAGTCCCAGTCCATTATTTAGCATAGAATCCCTCTGGTTTGGCACTGGTTATCCTAAATGGTGATCCAAGAGGTAAAATTTGCCTTGGCCACAAAATTGCTACTGCTACGAATTATTGGGTTGTCAGAAAAGTCATGATGCACTTTGCAACAAAAAGCATAGAAAAAATATGTCATGACTATTCTGACAACCCAATATCTATAGGCCTCTATACCTCCAGGTATGAGGACATTTTAGAGCGTAGTGGATCTAGTGAAGGAAAGGATCACTTGTATGGAAGTGGCCTGGAGTGGAGGCATCATCTCTTCACTACTAGAAGAAATAATCCACATGCCCCAGGGAGCCACAACGCCCATCAACTATCACCAGCAATAAGAAATCCAGATATACGCTCACCTCTCATTGGTTTAAAGCAGCATTTCTCAGCTTGTTTTCATTATTGATGCCTAAGGAGCCTATGTAGATTTTTTCCCCTAACTGTCCCCACTAAGACATTTAAATATCACAAATATACTATATATCTCTTTATATAGTGTGGCCCTTAGGAGTACTAAAAGATCTAAACTTTATCACCCCCCAAGAACCAATTTTTATCCCCTTGGAGTGATGCTGCCATTGCTTAAAGTGATTGATTTATGACTTTTAAAGTAATTCTGAGAAGTGGAGCTGCCTCATGACCTCAGTAAAATTCTAATAATATACAAGATCCGATATAATCTTCAACTTAAGCCTTGCTGCTTTCAGTGTAGTAGCCATTATTGCTATCAATACTTTATATACCATATTAAGATTGCGCACATACCCCCGTGTGGTCTGGGGAGGGCTATGGGTCTAGGTATGCCCAGTGAGTTGTAAGTGGAAAGGTCACACATCAATTCCAGGCCAGGAGATTCTATTGCTATTTGAAAACCTAGAACTCTCTTCTCCTCTATCCAGATGATAAACAACATTCAAGGTTGTTGTTGCTTTATCAGCCCGGGTTCCAAAGTGAGCAGGTGTGGAGCAGGGTTCCCAGCTGACTTGCAATACATAAGAAATAAATTACTAAGGTTTGAGGTTGCTTGTTACAGCAGCACAACCCAGCCTACCCTGGCTGATACACGGGGGCATTCATTTTTTCATTTACATGAATGAGAACCCACTATGTGCCAGACACTATCCTCGGCACTCATGACATAGCAATAAACTACACAAGTCCTTGCCTTCGTGGAACTTATATTCTAATGGGGGAAACTAGTGAGATCAAATTCAGCAACTTTCCAGCCCAGAGAACAAGGGATATAGTGTAGAAGAAAATGAACCCTTCTCCTTGAAGACAAGACAAGGCTAAAATGAGAAAATTCCATCCTGTGATATACTCTCAACAACCTTCTCTGAAATGAAGCCAAGTCCAGGGGGCATTGGTCCCTCTCCCCCTCCCCCAGGACACCAAAGGGATATTAAAATTCTATTTTAATTCTGAATTTTGAAGTTGGATGAATTGGGAATGTTATAGAAAGAAATCACTGGAGAAAGAGCAGGATTCAGGAAAGTATGAAGGTGTGGAGGGGGTCTTCTAGTAACAGAAAATAAAAGACACAGATGTGAAGATGCAGACACTTCTCACTCAAGCCAAATGGATCACAAAAGTATCAAGTTATAGGATGAACTGATTCACCAAAGCATCAACTTGGGCTCTTGAACAAGTGATTTCATTCTGCCTGAGACCCTATATTACAGAAGGAAGTTCATTTCCCACAGGAGGAAGCCCATTCCTCCTTGAGAGGAATCCTGAGCAAATACACAAATAATTAAACTGAAATAGGCCATTTTAACCCCACTGTAGTTCAAACACCCCAACCATCAAAGCTGGCCAGCCCAAACCAGCTGCTTAAGACCATCCTTTGAGGTTCAATGAACTAGGGCTTTGTTAGGCCAGGAGTGAGAAAGGATTTCAAAGACAAGGGCCCTCCTTGGGAAATGATTTCCTGATGACCTCTTTGAATTACATGATTTTTCTCATAAAACAGTGAGCCCCTAATCCTTATTCCCTCCTCTGTGAACCTCTCCTAAGCCCCTCAGCCAGGCTTGGAGACAATGATGGGAGGCATGGCTACGTCACCGCAACCCATGACAAAAATTTTCCTTAATTTACTTTACGCTCCATAATATAAAATGAACAGGAGACAAGTTTTCCTGTCTCAGGCTCTGCAAGTTCTAGATAACTTGAGTCTGTGTCTTTGCATAATGGTTTAATATCAAAAAGAAAAAGATGCTAAATTTTAAGCACTGCAATCATGTCTCTTTCAGATACTGGCATCACTGCCACTGTCTACCTTAGTTGTCCCATTTACAGCCATTCCTGAAGATTCTCAAAACTTTGGTAATTCTGGTTGGATTTTTCCAGCTAAAAACAAATACACGTATTTGAGTTTTAACATCAAAATTAAGATAATTTTTAAAAGGCTACATCCCATAAATTCAGCTGCCTGGCTTTGACCTAGGACAATATTATTGCTCAGAAATTTATCAAAGAGCTTTCTAAGGGGTTAATATTACAATACCAGAAGACAAAGAAATAGGTGGAAATGAATCTGAATCAGTGCCTAGAATCCAACACACACCCTGGGGACTCAAATATCAATTATGTTGAGAGTGTTCATAATAATCTGTTGTTTAAAAAAAAAACTTGCCTGGAAAATATGATTGGGAGTGAGAAGTCTGTACTCTGACATTAGTTAGTTGGATGCCTTCAGGAAATTGTGCGCTGACTATTTGCCAGGCATAGTACGCAGAATTTTTCATAAATTAACTCATTTACTCCTTATGTCATAACCTTTGTGGCAAGTGTTATTATCATCCCCATTTATGATATAAGGAATCTGGTGAATAGAGAACTTAACTTACTCAAGGTCACAAGTGTCAAAAGTAAGTCCTTTCCCTTAACCCTTTCATCTCTAGACATTCTTTAAATTCTCACACAGGTTTAACATTTGAAGCTTCCAAAATCTTTAGTTCTAAAACTGTACCCTACTGTTTCATTTCTAAAATTATGCATAAGCTTGCCAGTGACTTCATGTTTTCTGTTTTTTTGTTTTTTTTCATTTGAAAATATTTTCTTTCGAAGGCTTCAATCTAAAGCGAAATCTTTGGCTTGGGTGTAACTGTTGAAAGAGAAGATGAAGGACGGGGAAGGGAGAAAACTTTACTGATTATTTCTTGAGCATTTGGCCACAAGGGAGTCACTTTTGACTTTACACGAGGTCTTCGTAATTTTTCTCAGGTGGGTTGAGGCATCCTCAATCCATTGAAAGAGGCCTGAAGAGATGGGAACCACCAAAAATATGCCATGCAAGTATTCATTCATTCCATTGTATTATTTTTTGTTTTCAAATAGCCCTGTTAAACCACCAATAATCTAGGACCCAACACACCTCCTTTCAATTTAAAACTTGCAAACCAGAAAGGCATCATAGCATGATGATATGCTATAATAGCATACAAAGGCATATAACACAAGGACTCTGGAGGCAAACACATGGTTTAAACTCTATCTTTACTGTTTACTCAGAGTGTGAGAATGGTATTTAACCTCTCTGAGCCTCAGTGAACTCATGTATAAACTGGGGACATTAGCACCTTCCTTTCAAGATTGTTTTGAGGTTAGCACACCACAGATGTTTATTAAGCATACAATAAATATGCAATGGCTATTATTCTAATTATTTTATAATCATGAGGACCCAGTTAGAGGCTCTAATCATAAGCTTGTAATTCTCCTGAAGCAAATTGTTTCTGTCACTAACTACATACTCAGGAAAATTAATTACTTAAGAACTACTTTTAAGTATTTTCCATAAACCAGACAGCATTCTAAGTGCTTTACAAGTATAATAAAGGTAATCTTCCTTTCAACCCTACCAGGTGGGTACTGCTGTTACACCCATTTTATAGACAAGGAAACCGAGGCACAAGGATGTGAAGAAATCTACTCAAGGTCACAAAGATAGTAAGTGGTCAAGCTGGGGTTCAAATCCAGGCCCTTAGATCCACAGCGCCCTCCTATGCAACTCCGCTCTGCTCTGAACTCCTACCACCTGCTTTGCTCCTCTCCCTGCTCTGTCCCCACTCAGGACCTTTGCATAAGCTGCTCAATCGGTCTGGAACACATCTGCACTGACCTTCAGGAGACCTTCATATGAATAATTATATTTTCCTCTCCCTCAGGACTCTGCTGTCTCCTAAGTCACCCTCTCCTTTCTACCAGGTGCTCATCAGACTATGGGTACCTCCCTACCGCTCACTGCTGATTCCCAGCAATTGCTTCCATCATAACTGCTGGCTGTTTGCCGGGGTCCCCTGCAGGGCCGTGCTCTCCCCAAGGGTGGGAGCTGGGCTTCAGTTTTCTCAGTGCCTGCAACAATGACACTTGGGAGCACAGAGTAAGCACTTAATAAGCGTGACTGATATGAAATTCACTCACCTCTGTCCTGAGCACCTACTAGGCACCTAGCCTGTGCTAGGAGGTTCGGAAATACACCAGTGGATCAAACACAACCAGACAGAATGGCGGAAGGATTGTAGAGAAGTTAAGACTATGGGTTTTAAAGCCGGATTATCTGGGCTCAAAGCTAAGCTCTGCCAAGTTTTGTGAGCTTGGGCAAGTTATTTAACTCTTGTGTGCCTGTTTGCTCACTTATAAAATGGTGATATGCATTTAATGTATATATAGTATATATAAAATACATAAAATTTAATAGATATAATGTTTACACATATAAAGTGCATGCATATGCAATTCTTTCAGGGTTGCTCTGAGGATTAAAAGTTATTTCATATAAAGTGTGCAGGACAGGCCTAACCCTTAGTAAGCTCTCAGAAGGTTAAATTTTATTATAGGTAACTGTCATGGACCTTATATTCTTATACCCAACTACAATACAGTGAGATAAAGAGCTATTTGGTTCAACAATTTGACTCATTTTTGTAAGTCAAAGTGGTTAAAAAGAGGCAATTTTATATGATACAAATTAAAATGCTCAAAGAATGTAGAGGAAGGAGAAATTAATTTTGCCTGGAGAAGTAAAGAAAAGCTTCAAAACAAACTCAGACCTTGATGGAGACCTGCAGGGTGAGCAGACAGACAATGAACAGAGAAAGGAAGGGATGATATTTGAAGGAGAGAAACAGCAGAAGCAAAAGTCAGAGGCCTGAGAAAGTGTGGCCAACAGGCTTTCGGGTCAGAACCCAGAATCCATTGTGGGGATGCAGAGCTGAGACAAGAGGGAGCTAAATTACAGCTGTTATACTAAGCTCATTGGCATTCTGGCTTCAATGTTATAAGAGATATTGTGTTTTTTAACGAGTTAAAAAGGGGCCGGCCGAGTGGCGCGATGGTTAAGAACTCGCTTGGGATGCCAGAGGGCCCCGGTTCGGGTCCCACATATGAGGGCCAGTGAACACTGCCCTCCACAGCTAAGATGCTGAACAACAGCTCAACCTGGAGCTGGGCTGCTGTGAGTCGCTGGCGACGGCGTAGGCTGCAG